TACCTTCTTCAACAAAGCAGTCTACTCTTCCATGAAGTCTTTTCCTAGGCTCTTGCGATGTAAATAATGATATTGTATGGTTTCTGCTTCACCCACAACATGAGGAAAGATGGTGCTTGAATGAACCTGCGCTCCAAAATCATACTCAAAGACCAAATCATCAATCTGCACACCAGTATTTTAGACTATATTTGCCATACATAATGATCACTTTCATCATAGGGAATTTGTACCTCTACATAATATGACTTAATTCTTCTTTTCTCCCATTCTCTTCCCCTCCCTCCAACACTTCCCTTCTCCATTTACAAAAGCTTTATTTCCATTTTTAACTTTCATTCTCTCTTTTAAAATTCCTTTTCCATTTCTTCCCTTTCCCCTCTTCTCTCCCCTATTCCCCTTCCCATTTGAGCATGTTTTTCCTCCTTCTCAACATCTATCCTCTGTTTTGCTCCTTATTCTTTGGGTTTCTCAGAGAAGAGAAACAATGTGATACTTAAACTTGTGTGTCTGATTTATTTCACTTAACATTATGGTCTCAATGTGTATCCATTTACCTAAAAATGACTCAAATTTACCCTTTTTTTATGGCAAGTTTATCCTTCTTTACTCCATTGTATATAAAACCCAATTTTCTTTATCTATTTATCTGTTGATGGGCTTATGGGCTATTTCCAAGATTTAGGTATTATTAATTGTGCTGCTATAAACATGGGTGTACCCATATCTCTGTAGTTTGGTGCCTTTAACTCCTTTGGGAAAACACCTAAAAGGAGTGCAGCTGGGTCAAATGCAACCTGTAGCTTTAGTTTTTTGAGAAATCTCCATACTAATTTCCATAGTGGTTGTCCCAGTTTACATTCCCTCCAACAATGGAGAAGGTTCCTTTTTCCTCACAGCCTCATCAGAATTCATTATTGGTTGATTTTCTTCATGATAACCATTCTTTCTGGAGGGAGATGGAATCTCAGTGTTGTTTAAATTTGCATTTCTCAAATGACCAGGGATATTAAACATTTTTCATATATTTATTGGCAGTTTGTACTTCTTCAATTGAGAAGTGTCTTTTCGTTTCAGATACTTCTTTTTGGATTGGGTCTTTAAATTTAGCAGTATGTGCCTGATTTTAAAAAATTCTTTATTGGGGCTGGGGATTTAGCTCACTGGAACAGCGCCTGCCTTGCAAGCGCAAGGTCATGAGTTATATTCCCGGTACTGGAAAAAAATAAAAAATAAAAAAATAAAAAAAATAAAAAATTCTTTATCTATTCTAGACATCAGTTCTTTGAGGAATAGCTGGTAAATTTTTTTCCACTGCTTGGGTTGTCTCTTCACTTTGTTGGTGGTTTCTTTTGCTGTGCAAAAGCTTTTTAATTTGATGTGATCCCAATTGCTGATTCTTTGTAGTATCCCCTGTGCAGTATGGGTTTTGCGCATAAAGTTTTTGCCTACACCAATGTCTTCAAGAGTTTTACCTCATCTATCTTTCAGCAGATTGTTTCTGTTCTTGTATTTAGATCTTTGATTTGTTTCAATTTTAATTTAGTGCAGGGTGGCAGACTCAATAATAATGCAGAAGAAATGTCAAGAGAGTTGAATGTTGGAGCAGTGGTATGGCTATTATTGGGAGATTTTAGACAGATTTATGTTGCAAATCAAAAGCAAAGAGCCCAGCAGGATGATTTAAAACATTATAAGTTTGACCACAAAGGAAGCTCTAGTAAAGCTGTGGACCACAAATATAGCGCTAAGGAGATCTCAATTACTAGAAGGAATAAGAGAATCAAAAGTTGGCCTGAGGGGATCAGAAGAAGCACCAAGTCTCCACCCTTTGCAGCCTCAAAACTGCAAAATTGAAAGACTTTGAGGAGAAAGCCACAGAGCACCATGTTCCAGAATGGTGATAGCAGCTGTACCAGGTTCCGAAATGGCAGTGGCTGTACCAGGTCCCAGAATGGCCACAGCATAGAGAATTTCTTCCTCAGAACTGGATTCAGAGTGCTCAGTGATCCAGGCACCCAAACCATATAGCCAGAGAGAGGGAAGCCTGGATACTGCTTCAACCGGTCACAGATTGGCTTCATCCACGTGGTGTTGGTTTTAGGCACATACAGAATACAAGTGTTCTGAGGTTAAGAAGGCTGCCACCTAGATTTCAGAAGGTGTGGGAGGCCAAGCAGTGTGCCTCTGAGAGAGCAGTGTGTGAAGCTATGTGTATAAAGCCGAAGGTGCAGTGGAGAACCTAGAAGTTTGGAAAAGCCAGGAATGTGGATTGTCTGAGCAAAGTTGCAAGGAGGTAGCAAAGCAGGTGTGAGAGAAGCCATGGGAGTTACAACTACCAGAAGTGCCATAGAGGTGGAGCCAAATGGAGCTCACAATTTGCCACAGATTGCCTTGGGTGCTGCATGTGGCATTACAGGACTTAATATTTGCCCTCCTGGATTTTGAAATTGCTTTGGTCCCATCCCTTTGTATTCCCCTGTTTATACCTTTTGGAATGGTACTGTTTATCTTGTGGCAAGAAATGTTCGAATTGTTTAACTTTTCATTTGTATAGGGGCTCATAGCTAAGAGTTTGCCTTAGATCTCGGAGGACACTTGGGACTTGGACTTTTCAGTAATGCTAAAACTATTAATAATTTGGCCACTCTTAGAAATAGACTAAAATACTTTTTGAATAAAGGGATGTACACGAGTCTTTGGGGGACCTGGGTCAGAATGTTATGGTTTATATCTAGATGTCCCCCCAAATCCTCATTCAGTCATGGTGTGGGCTTCTAGAGTTTTTGATTGATTCACGGTCCAATGCTGGGATTATGGGTGTGAATGCTACACTCATCCTGGGATGGGTAGCCTGCATACAAAATAAAGGAGGGAAAGAGGGTTGTTCTTTGCCATTTGCCGTTCTGCCTTGGAGCCAGCTGAGTATGGACTGAAATGTCCACAAACTGTGAGCTAAATAAATGTTTCATTCCTCAATTCTGGGTGTCAGGTATCTTGTTTCAGCAATGAGAGAAAAGTAACCATGACCCTGAATAGTGGCTGCTCCCATTAGCTTCCTCTCTTCAAAGGATTCTACTTTTCATATATAGTAGACACTTCAAATGTGTTCTGCAAGCAGCACTTGTTCAAGTGATGGTTTGCTTCTGATCCAGCCACTCCCTTTCTCTGGATTTGACGTGATGGCTTTCTTCCTCAAGCTGTATTCTGCTGGTTGGCCTCCCAACAACCCTGTGAAACTCCATGCATACTGGCCTTTGTGAATGTCTCATAGTGACCTGTGAGTACTGTGGTCTGTAATCTATCATGTCTTTAACCTCTTATCTGATGTAGTAAGATTTAATATTGTTTTACTTCCTGGGCTTTGGACTTAGTAGGGACCAGTTACCTCCTTTCTTCATGTCAGTTTCTCCTTTGGGTATAAGAATGCCTATCTTATGCCTGTTCCACCACTGTACTTTGGAAATAGACAACTTGTTTAACTCCACAAACTTGTGGTGGAAGGTAAATTTACCTCAAGATGAAGTGTGCCTCAAGTCTCATCCATATCTGATTTAGAAATGACTTTGGATTTTGACTTTTGAGTTGATTCTGGAACAAATTAAGACCTATGGGGCCACCACAATGCAATTAATGTATTTTGCATGTAAGGGGGACATGACTTTTGAGGGGTACTGGTGAAGTACTGTGATTGGATATGTCCCCAAAGTTCATCTGTTGAAAACTATCCAGTGTAACATTATGAAGAGGTGGGACCTTTAAGAGGTAATTAGGTCATGAGAGCTCTTTCCTGTGATGAATGGATTGTCATCACATGTATGGGCTAATTACTACACAAGTGGGATCTTGACAAAAGGATGAGATTCCCCTGCCTCACATTTTTTTGACCTTCTACCTTCTTTCAGGACTGATGTAGCAAAAACATCTTCCCCAGATGCTGGTAAACTTGATCTTGGACTTTGTTTGCAGGACTGAAAAAAATAAATGTCTATTCTTTATAAGTTCCTGGTCTTGTGTGCTCTATCAGAAAACTTACTCTAGCATGAAATAGACTGAGAAAATGTTGATTGCCAGGAGCTGAGGGGTGGGAGAAATGGTGAGATGGTGGGTAAAATGTAGCTTTTAGTTACAAGATGAATATATTCTGAGGCTGTGATGTACAACTGGTGATTATGGCTTATAAAGCTGAATTATGTACTTGAAATTCGCAAGGACAGTGGAAACTAAACAAACAAAACATTTTGTTCAATAAACAGAAAAAGAAACCATGCTAGGTGATGGATATACTAATTAACTTGGTTGAGGTAAGCACTTAAGAGTGTATACATCTATCAAATCACCACACTGTACACTTTAAATATGTACAATTTCTATTTGTTATTTATACCTAAGTAAAACTGGGAAAAATTTTGTCCTTACTTATTTTAAAAACTTATAAGGAGTCATTTTATTAGTTTTACAAATTATAAATTCTCTTTTTCGACACAAAAGAACAAAAACAAAAGTCAAATCTAATATCACCTCATTAGATAAAATTACCAATTTGAAATTAATGGCAAAAGAAAGTGCAAAAACTCCATAAACACATGGAAATTAAATAACACCCTCCTAAACAACCAATGGGTCACAGATGAAATTTAAGAAGAAATTAAACAATATCTACAACTAAGCAAGAAAGCAGATACAACATACTGGAACTCATGGGATGCAATGAATGCAGTTCTAAGGCGCAAATTTGTAGTGCTGAATTTCCACATGAAGAAAACAAGACGAGCACAATTAAACAACCTAACGTTGTACCTCAGACTTCTAGAAAAAGAAAAGCAAGACAATTCCAAAGCCCACACAAAGGAAGAAATTATACAGATTAGAGTAGAAATTAATGCAGTGGAGACTAAGAAAGCAATACAAAGAATTAATTAATCAGTGTTGGTTCTCTGAAAGAATAAATAAAATTGATAAACCCTTAACCAACTTTATCCAAAAAAAGCAAAGAAAAAACTCAAATTCATGCAGTGAGGAATGAAAAGGGTGAAATAACTACAGTTCTTGTGTAAAATAAAAAAAATTACTAATGTCTAATCTCCCTTTTCCACACATGTCAGGAAAAGTGTTAAAATGATGTGAGTCAGCTAAATGCAGGTGTTTGCTAAAATTACCTTGGTTGCTGCCTTTTGGCAGAGAAACTGGCTATTTCCTCTGGGAAAGAAATATTATGTACAGCTACCCTTGAGTGTGCTGTGAGAGCATTCTTAGTTTTTGTCCAGACCTAAGATACTCTGCTTTAAGATGTGTAGGGCTGTTGGCACCAAACCACTTTTATCTGAACATAGTACTTAAGAAATTAAAACTCAGTACAGTGTTAATATTTTGTTTCTTGTCTGCTAAAAGCTCCGTCTCCTACAAGATCCTTCCCCATCATCTTTGGTGCTGCCCCTTGTGTCATCATGTGGTAATATATTATTGGACTGTGCTTGTGTCTGTATTACTTTTATAATAAACTTACTTTCATAAATATAAAATCATGATGTGGCTCTTCTCTGTTGCTGTAGATCTGAACCTTAATTTTATGTGGCCACCACATATATGTGGTTCCTTGCTGTTACAATTAAGTATAAAATGCAAATAGATGAAATTACCCTTTGTTTAACCAATGGTTTATAATGGCTTAGAGTTCAGGCAAAATAGGCATAGAAAAAAACTGTCACAGCCAGGGAGATGATGGCATTGATGTTCGCTATAGTTTTCCACAAGGGCTTCTCTGATGTGTCTGTGAGTTTCTTCTTAAGGGCTTCTTCCTCTTCTTTGCTCAACTTGGGCCCTGTGTCTTGTAAACCACAGAATAAGTCATACATCTTCCGGAGACACCCACGAGATTTCTCAGGATGCTCTGAAAGAAAAATAAATGATCATGAAAGATGGGAAATGGAAGTCCTTGTCAATGTAGTAAGGTGATAGTAAAAAAGGATAATTATTTATTTATTTATTTTATTTTAAAGAGAAAAAACACTAAATGAAACAAAATTTCAAAACAAGATAGTAGGAGAGTAACAATGGTTAATATATTGCTTATTGTTATCTTCAAAGTAGTTGCTCAGATTGCAAGATATAGGCATGAAAAATTGATCAGATGACATAAGCACAAACCTTTCTTTGCAGTCAACTAATAGAATTTAGTAGTATAGCTATCTTAACTACTATATATATATTTTTTCCTTTTTTCTTCCATCTTTTCTCTTTGCTCCCATCCCAGTTTCTCTTTCCTTTTGAACAGTTTCTTCACATTTCCCAATAACTATTGTACATTTTGGATCTTATTTACTCTTTCAGCTTCTTACACTAGGGAGACAATATGATGTTTACACAGGTGAGATTGACTTATTTCACTTATGAGTATGGTCTCTAGTTGCATCCATTTACCTATAAAAGTCTCAAGTTTAACCTTCTTTATGTCTGAGTAGTACTACACTGTATAAAAATACCACATCTGTTTTATCCATTCCTCGGCTGGTGGGCATTTGGGTTGTTTCCAAGATTTAGCTATAACAAATTGTGCTGCTATAAACATGGTTACACATATATTTCTGTGGTATGATGTTTTTAATTCTTCCGGGAAGATATCCAGAAGGGGAATAGCTGGGTCTAAACGGGCCTCTAATCTTAGTTTCTTGAGGAATCTGCACACTGATTTTCATAGTGGTTGCACTATTCTGCAATCCCATCAACAGTGAAGTGTTCCTTTCCCCCCCGCCAGCTCCTCCAGCATTTGTTATTGGTTGATTTCTTGATGGTAGCCATTCTTTCTGGAGTGAGATGAAATCTCAGTGTTGTTTCAATTTACATTTCTCAAATGATCAATGGTGTTGAATATTTTTTTTCATACATTTATTTGCTATCTGTATTTCTTCATATGAGAACTGTGTATTCATCTCAGCTGTCCATTTTTGGGTTGGGTCTTTAAATTTGGAGGGTCTGATTTTTTAATTCTTTTTATGTTCCAGATAGAAGTCCTTTGTCTGAGGGACTGTTGGATAAATGTTTTTTTAATTCTGTGGGTTGTCTTTTCACTCTGTTGGTGACTTCTTTTGATGTCCAAAAGCATTTTAATAAGATGAGATCTCAGCTGTTGATTCTTTGGGATATTTCTTGCACAGTTTGGGTTTTGTTCATGAAGTGTCTGCCTACAACTATGTCTTTGAGATTTCTAACTACTTTCACTTCCAATAGATTCAGTGTAACTGTGTTAATAGTTAGATCTTTGATCCATTTTGACTTTAGTTTAGTGCATGATGATAGACATGGGCCTAGTTCTAGTTTTCAGCATGTAGACAGCCAGTTTTTCCAGCACTATTCAGTAAAAAGATTTATCTCCTCCAGTGAACATGTTTGGCCCTTTTGACAAAGATAAGGTAGCTGAGTGTGTTTGGTGTTGTGTTTGCATCTTCTAATCTGTTACATGCATCCTCAGGTCTGTTCTTTTGCCAGAACCATAATGATTTTATCACAGTAGCTTTGAAATATAATTTTAAGTCAGGGATTGTGATGCCTCCTGCCTCCCGTTTGTTGCCAAGAATTGCTTTTGTATTGTAGGTCTTTTCTGGTTCCAAATGAATGTTAGGAATGTTTTCTCTAGACCTCTGAGATATGCTAATAGTATTTTGATTGGGATTGCATTAAATCTGCACAACAATTTTGGGAATATGGCTATTTTCACTATGTTGATACTTCCTATCCATGAGCAAAGAATATCTTTCCATTTTCTGATATCCTTTTCAATATCAGGTATGAAAGTCCCCTGTTACAATTGTATTATTGCTTATTTGATTTATTGTCTTATATAGTTGTGTGCTTCCATATTTGATACATACATGTTTATGATTTTTATCACTTCCTCTTGAGGCTTTCCCCTAACAGGTATGTAGTGACTTTCTTTATCTTTTTTGATCATTCTTGGTTTGAAGTTCATATTGTGTGCAAATAGAATAGGTACATATGCCTTTTCTGGGTTCCTGGTGTGCGCAGTATTGTTTTCTATCCTTTGACTTTCAGTCTATGAATTTCCTTTTGAGTTAAATGTGTTTTTTGTATACAGTATATTATTAGATTTTGTTACTTGTCCTACTCCACCAGTCTGTTTCTTTTGATTGGTGATTTGAGGCCATTTACATTGATGGTTGTAACTGATATGTATTGGCTTATCTTTGTCATGATATTTTTCTGCTGTTGGTTTCTTGTTTTTTCCCTCTGTTTAATTGCTTGTTCTTCCAGGTAGTTTCTTTCTATTGTTGTTCTTGGAATTGTGGTCATTTTTACCTCTTTCTAGAATATCTTTCAGTACTCTTTGTAGGATTGTTTTCATTGTCATGAATTTCTTCAGTTGTTCTTTGTCTTGGAAGTGTCTTATTTCTCTATTAATTTTGAAAGTGAGTTTTGCAAGGTACATCAATCTGGGTACAAGTTGTTTTATTTCTGGACTTGAAATACTTCACTCCAAGCTCTTCTTGGCTTGATGGTTTGTGTTCAGACGTCTGCCATGATTCTGATGGGCCTTCCTTTATAGGTGCTCTGTTTCTTTTCTCTAACGGCTTTTCATATTTTATTCTTGTGCTGAATTTCTGGAATCTTGTTTATTATATATCCTGCTGTAGTTTTATTTTGTTCATGGCTGTTTGGAGTTCTATATGCTTCATTTATTTGTTTGTCAAATTCTTTATCGATGCTTGGGAAATTTTCATCCATTCTTTCCATGAAGAGTTTTTTAATGACATTTGTGATTTCTCCAGCTTTCTCATTGATCCAAATCAACCTTATGTTATTCTTCTTTGCCTCAGGATAAGTACTTACAAGTATTAGAGAAATTCTTTATGAAATATAGACAAATTTGATTTATAAATATCACATGATTTCTCTTATATGAGAAATGTGAAATATAAATAAATAAATTACTAAAACAAAGGAGAGATGACAGGAAACAAGACAGAATGCTTGAAGATGGGGAAGAGAATTAGTGAGTGAGGGAAGTTAGAGGCAGGGAACAAAGAGATTGAAAGTGATCAAGATATGATATACACAGGTACTAATTTCTCAAGACAAACACTGCTATTCTGTATTGCAAATATACACTACTAAAATAATTTTTTCATTGCAGAGTCCAATAATGTAAGTAAAAAAGGTGATAAAAATTGGAGAAAACTAGTATGCTATGTTACAGATGGTTAAAGTCCTTAATATCTGATGGATTTCCCAAAAAAAGGAAAGAAAAGACTATCAATAGCCTCACTTAAACATACTAGAGAGATGATAATGAACTTACAGAAAAAAGAAAAATGGTTCTTAGGCTCCCTCAAAAAGAAATTTCAGTTAAAACTACACTGAGATATCACTATCATCAATTAGTGGTCGAAATTAAGAAGTTTCACAATGTACTATGTTAAAGAATCTTTTTGGAAATGACCATACTCATACATTATTACTAGGGAAGCATGATTCAGTTAGAGGGAAATTTGGATTCTGTAGCAAAACTGCATAGTCACCAACCCTTTAACTTCACAAACTTTTTGAGATACATCCCATAGATATACTGACAAAATACTACCTCCCACAAAAAGCCCAAATAATGTATAAGGAGTCATTGCAGTACTGGAAAATTTAAAACATATTTACATAGACTTAGTTACTTGGATTAGAAAAGAAGAGAGACTGGAAATTTATGAAGTAATATAGGATTTAAATTGGAAAAAATTTCAATAGAATAAACTCAAGTGCAAAGGGAAGTGTATAAAATATGAACAAAAGGTAATAAAATAGAAAAGAATCATAATAGAAATAATAAAAAGCCAAAAATTGGTTCTTCATGAAAAATAAACTATGGTGGTTTATTGAAAGCAACAGTGAATGCTTAAACTTTTTCTATTTTGACCAATTTTGCATGCTTATATCTGGTAATCTGAGCAGCTTGTTGATTTGAAGACAACAATATGCAATATAACAACCATTGTTGAATTCTTTTTTTTTTGTTTTGTTTTTTGTTTTTTTGTTTTTTCTCTGGTACCGGGAACCGAACTCACGACCTTGCGCTTGCCAGACAGGCGCTTTGCCGCTGAGCTAAATCCCCAGCCCCCATTGTTGAATTCTTACCATCCTATCTAGTGAAACTCTGTATCATCTCTATTTTTTAATTATTACTTTTTTATTATCTTTAGTGGTTTGATCAATCTTGCATCCTTACATCTGGTAATTTGAGCAATTTCACTGAAGATAAAAATATGTAATAGAACAAATACTGTTAATTCCTATCATTTTGCTTTGAAACCCTGTATCATTTTTAATTTTTTTTGCTTTGTTTTGTTTTTGTCTGTGATGTGGGTATTTTGCTATTGTTCTTTTTTATTATTCTCTTTAAAAGAAGAAAAATAAACTACTTATTTATTATACTGAAAAACTAAAAATAAACTATTTATTACACTGAAGACAAGTCCTCAGTAAGATTTATCAAGACAGAAGGGAAATCACAAGAGACATTATTAGAAATTATAACAAAAACAAACTATAGGGGTAGGAGAGATGAAAAAAGATAATACATAGATACAGTGAATAAGTTTATGGCAATATATTTAAAGATGTAAGAAATGAACACAACCCTAAAAATATTTAGTTTCTCAAAACTGATGGATGAAGAAATGGAAACTAAAAATGTAGAAGTTTGTAGTTATATAACCATTATATAAATCATCCCTTTCCCCTCATACACATGACTAATGATACTATTGGCACAATACAGAAACACAGTGGAGATACTATTCCAGTCTTATTGAGATAAAGGCAAGGGCTCTTTTCTGATTCATTTTCTGATAACATTATGATCTTTTTATTTTATGAAAAATAAATCAAAATTTCATAACAAAATAAGGACAGAATAATGGTAGTTAATACACTATAATTATCTTTAAAGTAGTTAAGGTACAAGACATAGAGTGAAAAGATTCTTACAAAGTAAAAAACAGATAACATAAAACTTTAAAAATATTTAAATATATGGGCCTTTGTTTCATTTATACTACTAGCTTATCTTAGTTTATTGAAAAGAGCACTATAATCTTAATACCAAAACCAGACAAAGACTAAGTATAAAAAAGGAAAAATTATAGGCCAATTATGCTTAGGAATATTGATGTGAGCAATCAAAAGGACTAGAAGACATCGATTCTTTTTGAATTTGCAGAGAACAAAACAAATCAAACCAATTATTGTCAAGCTTGAAGTGATGTAATAAACCTTGTCATATGTTTTAAAAATACTAGGCAAAGAAAGAGATGGCTGTTGGAGTAAATTTCAAGATGGGAGTGTGATTAAAACTTAGTATTTAAGGATAGGTTCTTTTTTTCTCTTGGAGAAGGGGGTAGAGATATTCTAGGGATCTTGATGTATTTGGTGAAAAGTAGAGAAATTTGGCTGCCTGGAACAAAGGGTATATTAGGGAGAATAGTGCCACCTAATTTGAAGAGAAGGTGGCTAGATGTTAATCATAACAAATCAAGACCGAGAAGTTCGTATGTAACTAGGCAAGGTGAATTTGTAACTGTCTGTGATCTCAGTAGCTGGCTCACATTTTCATGTATGTATGATGGATGGATAGACAGACAAGACAGGCCAATGAATGGATGGATTTCATATGTAGCAAGTTATCTGGGTTATTGGGAAGGGAAGATTTGAAAATTTGTTTGCTCTAAATTAAACAGCTTTTTTTTTCTCCCAGAAGCTGAAGTTAGTGGTATTTAAAACATCTCAATAAATCAAGGTATAAAAACAAAAATGTAAGTCAGATATTACCTTCAACACCATTTTCAGTTTCTTTTGGCCTTTTGTCATCTGCGTCTAAATCAATTCTTTCCTCTTCACTGTTCCGAAGAGCCCAGCACAGGCGATACAACTGATCAGAGACCATACACGAGTACATTAATAAAGGGCATTGGAGAAGAAAAGACATGTGTGTTAATGTGATGGAACAGGGACCTAGAAATAAATCCATGCATCTACACCAGCTGATTCTCATCATATGTGCCAAAAACATACTTTAGAGAAAGGACAGCATCTTTGAGAAATGATGCTGGGAAAACTGGATATCCCCATGTAGAAGACTGAAACTTGACCCCTGTCTCTCACTCTGTACCGAAATTGACTCAAAATGGGCCAAACATCTCAATGTAAGACCTGAAACTCTGAAACCCCTAGCACAGATCATACGAAAAACACTTCAATATACTGGCACAGGTACTAATTTCATGGATAGGATGCAAAAAGACAGGAAATAAAAGCAAAAATTGACAAATAAGATTACATATGATTCAAAAGGTTCTCAACAGCAAAAGAAATAATTAACAGAGTGAAAAAGCTAACCTACAGAATGGGAGAAAAAACTTCGCCAGCTGTTTTTCTGACAAAGATTAATCATAACTTCAATATTTAAAGAATTTAAAAGCTTAACAAAATCCTCAAATGTTCTGATTTAAAGTGAGTGAATAATCTGGACACACAGTTCTGAAACAATGAATTAAAAATGGCCAATAAATACATGAAAAAAATGGTTAAGGTCATTAGTTAACAGGGAAATGCAAATTAAAACTATAATGAAATACCACACCACTCCATTGAGAATGGTTAGGTAACAGAATCACAGGAAATAACAAAAGCTGGCGAGGATGTGGAGAAACAGGAAACCAAGTAGTATGGAGGCTTTGGGGAGCTCCACTCCACAAAAAACCCCTAAAAATGGAACTATCATAGGATCCAGCTATCCCATTCCTGGGTACATATTCAAATAAAATAAAGTATATATAATGTGTAAGCACAAATTAAGAAATGATTTCCCTTGTCCTCTAGAAAAAAAGTTTTCCAAAAATTGTTTCTTTTTATTTTAAAGAGAAAAGAACAAAAACAAAATAACAAAACCAAAGACAAAAACAAAATAACACAAAAAAATATAAAAATGTTGCAGAATTTCAAAACCAGATGATAGGAAATCAACAAATTGTAGTTATTTCTATTGGCAAAATCATTTAAAATTTATTTATACAAAAGTATGATATATTTTATAGTTTTCATTTTTTCAACATCTAATATTTAATGCAAGTATTTAACTGTGAATTCTGGTGTCATGTCTTTGGTAAAGTAATTTGAATCACCATTATGCTTCAGGCTTCCCAACCACACATCATCCACTGGACATCTCTTAAGGAAATATGCAAATAAGCATTGCTTCAAAAACTATAATAAATACAAAATACGTAAAAATTATATTTGCTGGTAACAAATTCAAATACTATTTGCATGTGCACAGTATTTATATTTAAAAGGTTAATATTTGCTGGGCCTTTAGAGTCTCCACAAGGATACTCTTGTTGAAGATTTTAGGTGTGCATTCTGTAAGATTTTTTTTGGTCTGTGTATCTATATATCTATATATCCACTTTATTCCAAAAGTAATATTATAAAAAACTATATTCTTCTGCATGTATCTTTTCCAGTTAACCATATTATGGATATTTTCAAAACAAATAAGGGATTTCCCTTATGTTTTAAAATAACTGCATAATATTCAATGTACTATTAGTGTGTATTCATTCCCTTAGTGATGAAAATTTGAATTTCCTTCAATTTTTGTAGTTTTCTATTTTTTTGATTAGAAAACTTTCAGACTTAACATTAATATATGTATATATTTTCCACTTTCACAAGAATATGTTCATAACCTCACTGAAAATGGGATCATTGATTCATAAGGTATGGGAATTTAAAAATTGATAATTACTGTCCTATTGTCCTCTCATAACTTATACAGTTCTCACATGCATCACAATTCTATTTTGTGGGTGAATCCAAACTAACATTACACATTATCCACATGAAGCATTTTTTTTTATCAGTTTGAAACATAAGAATGTATATCACCATTCCCTTGCCTAACACTTATTTCCAAGTGCCTTAAACAATCTCTGTATTAGTATTCAGTCTGGATATGAAATTCTGTTTACCCTTAAAGAGGCCCAGGCTATGTGATAGCTCTGTTGTAAAGTCTTTCCAAGTCTCTTGGGCAACTATTTTTTCCCTGGTATCCCATGATAATGGTGTATAGATTTACCATTTCTAATTTTAATGATGCAATGATGCTTTTGGTCTGCAACTTGTACACTAGCTTCAACTTTAGGTGACAAGGAATTCTTATTTTAAAATCAGCATATATCCATTGTTCATCACTTACATTGACATCAGGAATGGGTTTTGTTAGGAAGGAAATTCCCAGGACAACTATTATAGATACAGCAAAGAGAATGATGGAAAAGTACAGATAGTGCACTCCACAGATAATCTTGGGACAGTTTGTCGGAGCCACACAACTTCCTGTTCCATGGACAAACTCTGCAATCATACGAATAATGCCCATAACAAGTCCAACCATCAGACCCCAGAACGCTCCCTGAAAAAGACACAAGAGCAAAACTCAAGTGTTTAGAAAAAGATACAAAAGTCATTCAAGTACTCATAATTATCATACTGTCTGCTTTCTCAGCTAAAGACCAACACATTACTTAACTTTAAACACAAGGCTCACAATAGTTAACTTAGACAGTGAAAATTGAAAATATATGTGTTTATTAGTAAGACGTTGGTCTCCATAGCCCTGAAAGAACATTATACTGTCGATTCTCCACTTACAGGACTCTTCTGTTTTCACTGACCCAAGCTCTCATTTCCTTGATTTGTGTTTTACAGACATACTAAAAATTTGTGATTTATTTTGTAGAATAATTAGAAATATGAGTTTTGCTCTACAGTTTGAAGAACTGATATTAAGCAGTTTTGAGAGTTCTGTTAAGGGCTTGACAACTGAAAGCACTTATCTTCTCTGAGAAATTTATAGTGGTGGAAACGTGTGACACTTGTTCCCCTGTTCAAGATGTTATGTTTTAGGAGGACAATATTGCATGGAGATTAAGAATATAATCTTTTTATCACTTTTTTTGGTACCAGGAATCGAACTCAGAACCTCATGCTTGCCAGGAATGTGCTTGTGCCACTGAGCTATATCCTTGGCCCAAGAATATAATCTTTGAATGGAGAAATATTCAATGTGAATCATATGACTACACTTACTAAGATGAAGTGACATGTGAAAAGCACATAGATATTAACTACTCTGCATCTGTTCTTCATCTGAAAGTCATAATAATAAATCTAATATCCAGGAACAATTAAAGAATTAAATGTACTTGGGCAACAATGATCAATCAACTTTTTACACCACAATAGCAAGGAACATGTTTTGAATCTTTATTAGTGGTTTAGATGTTCTCCTATTCGTTTAATATATCTTATCTCATCTAATCTTCACAGAAATTCCATTAGGTAGGCATTATCATTTTACAGAAAGTGAAGTGATTTTCTTTAGATCACAATATTATTAGATGATAGAGCCATGATTAGATCCTACCAGTCTGTCTCCCAAACTTACGTTTTTCAGCACTGTGCCATATAATATTTTGTAAGGAGATAAAGATTGTACTATGAATGTAGAGTATAAATATTAAATATTTTTATACTTTAGTAAGGATCAAGAATTGTGGCTGGGGGCTGGGGATTTAGCTCAGCGGCAAAGCGCCTGCCTGGCAAACGCAAGGTCGTGAGTTCGGTTCCCGGTACCGGAGAAAAACCAAAAAAAAAAAAAAAAAAGAATTGTGGCTGATCACAACTGAAATTGCTTGTGCTGCTGAGCTATATTCCAAGCCCCACAACTAAAATTGAAGAAGGCCTTTAGTTGTACAAATAGGGTAGAAAGAATGAATTTTGTTATCATAGTGAAGTAAATCATTTTCCTTCTCACTCTATCATGGAAAAAGTCTCCCAGGTTTCACTTACTTGTTCATTAACTCGTTTACAGAAAATGGCAAGCAGGAAGACAGCTGCAATTGGAGGCCCAAGGTAGCTTGAAATTGCTTCTGTGTAGTGGATCAGTTGTCCCCCTTGAGATACCTCTACTAAGGGGACCCACAGTATGCTGAGGACAATTAATACAACAACAAATAGCCTGGTAAGAAAACAAAATGATTTAAGTATTAAACAAAAGTAGGAGATGCCTCTCATTGTGTTTTAGTTCTAGAATTTATTCTTATACCATTCATTGGTTTTCAAAACAGAATCAAGCTCCTTGAGCTGACATTTACCTATGCTATGCTAAATTATTATATAGTAATACTTTAACAGTAAAGTACTTACTTATCTATAATTAGTCACAACAGTTTCACCCATGAAATAAGTGTACACTCATTAAAACAGTTCAAATATCAACTATTGATTAATAATTCTCTAACACAGTGTACAGATATTAGAAATAAATACCCTATGAGTTCTGTTAATCAGTAATTACTTGTATGATAAAGAAAACATATTTCCCTTTTTGTCTTTCTCAAGCTTTGCAGAAGCTGTTAGCTTTTATAAGCAAGATTTAAAACAAGCCTCTATTCCAGAATGCTGGGTGAGCTGACAAAGAATACCAATTTTTGTATTTTATTATTTGAATAATGCAGCAGATGGAAAGAATTGGTTAAAATATATTTGCTAGTGTTAAAAACCTATTGGATAATCCTAAGGCCCAGAGAGCATGAATTGTGCACTTTTATGAACTGCAAGATCTTCCTTTTCTGCTTGTGTGAATAAATAAACAAACATAATTTACTAAACTATATAAAATATTGATAAGTAGCAGTAATCCCTTAGGGGTTCCCGAGTTCCAGGAAGCATGACTTACTCAGTTTTCTAAACTGCAATGACTTCTCCACTTGTGTGAATACCAAATGGACAAATACAATTTACAAGACTGTGCATAAAAGTTCATGTCATTTCTGTGTTTACCTAAACAGACAAGTGATGGGTGTTGGAACTAGAATTTGGACAGGGAACTGAAGCACGGTGTCTCATTTAAATTTTACAAAGCTTTTACAATCTTGAAACAACTAAGTGAAATAAACAATGGAAAGTCCTAGTCTGACATGTAAAACATAATAAGGATTTATTGAATTTTTACTGAAAAGAAAGTTGTGTGCTGGTGGAGACCACTACGAAGCAGCTCTGAACAGGACCTAAATTAACCAATGGGCTTTTCATGTTTACTTGTGAATCTGTCCAAGGCCTAGGCTCTTTGTCTGGCGATGGGTGATGGACTCAGTAAGTGAACCTCTGTGAGTCGCTGATCCCTACTGAGGCCTGTAATGGCAGGTGAAACTATGAAGGCTCGAAGGATAAGACAGTCATTGCCAAGGACACTTGGATCCACCCTAAACTAGATAAAGACTGTAGCCTCAGGCATCTCATTCTGGGTGGATTAATTTAATACCTTACTTAGAGAAGTCCTTGAGCAGTTCTTGCCCTTCTTGAATATTGCCCTCCCTTCTTCTGATAACTAAATAAATATGGGCCACCTAGAGAAAGTCTTAGTTTTATCCCCCAAAGAATCTCAAATTCTATAAGAGGGTTTTGATTTTCCTGGAGCCCTTAAGTCATTCCATCTTCCTCTTTTATTTAGCCTTTACACTCATTTGGGAAATTGGGGCCCTGATCAGCCCACAATAGCTAAGGCATATTATTAACCCAATAGTGTGTTCCTTGCCCACATTCTCTCAGCTGCTTCAGTTGCTTTCTATCACATTATAACCCTGTGTAACATCACCTCTGGATATCTTTCTACACAGGTTGCTTATGACTTTTTCACTGCTCCCATGTGCAAATTTCAATCTCTGCTGTCAACCTAAGCACCATGCATGTGACTGTCAGAGGAATATATCACTGTTCCTTCTCCAGAGAGACCTGGGGCTCACTCCCACACCATCTTCAAATGTCACCTCCTCCTCAGAATTCCCTGAGCACCTGTATTAACTTGATGCCATCCTTTAATCCTTCTATAATTTTCCTCCTAGCATCTCTTGACACCTGATGTAACACACATCCATTAATTCTCTATCCCCTTCTCAAAGGCATAAGTTCCATGAAATAATAATCCAAAAATGTATGTTTTTTCTATATTTGTATTTTGAAAGATAGACATTTGATAAGGGAGAGGAAAATAAAAATGTATTAATTTGTCATTGAGGTTTAAAGAAGATTTAGGTTCAAAATCATATACTAATTAGTGGGGCTCATGTGTCTTAAGCTTCCTGAGTATCATCCGGCACTCTCTCTGGCACAGAAACAAAGGTACCTGATTGTTATCCCTCTCCTACAGCATTTTCCCAGCGTCAAGATGTGGACCAAATGATGCCTTTCAGTGTTTTACCCTAGTGTTTAATTTATTAAAGTTATTGTTACTATCATCAGTCATCAGCAAAGCAAAATCTTCCAGTAGGTGATCAGGTTCTCTTGACACCAATTTCACAGGAAAGCTGGTAGCCTCCTTTCACAATTTGCCTTCATAGACAGAACACTTGTGCACTGCACTGACAATGCTTCCATCCTGGAACCACTAAGTTGTTGGTCCCCAGGTTAATTCCTCACAATAAGCTTGCTTACTGAGTGGGTACAGGGGGTATTCCACATTAAAGGGAGAATAATAGGGTTCTAGTTTCCCTTATACCTAATGGAGAGACCCTGACATGAACTTGAAGTACTAAGAAACAAAGAGATAGTAACATATTTTCATTGTAGAAAATATACATTGTCGAATACACTACCAAAAACTTGGAAAGCATAAAGGGAGTATTAAAATTACCTCACATTTAAAATTACCCCACATTTAAAATTACCACTATAATTTGATTATTTTTTCAAGAATCATTATCAACTTTTTCATTTAAGACCACTCTTCACATTCTTTCTTAATTGAAATCACTCAGTTTAAAAAGACTAGGAATGAAAAATATGCACACATGTAGCAACCTGATAGTAATATAGGTCCATGTGCACCAAGACAAGGCAAAATGGCTGAGAATAGTAGAGTAGATAAATAATAATATTTAACTGCAATGTAATACCATAGCCAAAAATGAACCAAACCATACTTACACATAGCAACATGGCATGTCACAAAAAATAACACAAGCAAAGCAAATCATATATCAAGCTGGGCATGATGATTCATGCCTGCAATCCAAACACCCTGGTAGGCTAAGGCAGGAGGATTGTGCATTTGAACCTAGCCTGGGCAATTTAGCAACTTAGTGAGATCCTGTCTCAAAATAAAAATGGCTAGGTGTATAGCTCAGTGTGAAGATTTTGGGTTCAGTCTGCAGTAACACACACATGCACACATGTGGGTGCACACATACATACAATCACATATCAAGGAACACATGTTGAGTTCTATTTATAATAGTCTGAAACTGGAAGACTAGACTAAGCTTCAGAAGTCAATGCTTAGCTTTGGAAAGGTGGGGACCGACAGGAGGTTTTGGGTGCTGGTAATTTCCATTTACTGATATGATTAGTGGTTACAAGTGTGCTCATCTTGTGCTGTATCACCGAGCTGTATATTTGTTTTACAAGTCTTTTATATGTGTGAGGTACTTTAAATTTTAAATCATCTTAAAAAATGCTAGGACAATCTAGGGTCTACTTGAAAATTATGAGAAAGAAAAGGGATTATTTTAGAATCCATTCTCTCTGCCTATTTCATTCCTTCTCAATTCCTTTGAGTTCCTCAGGATTCCCAACCAAGGCCCCTCCCGTGGTAGCCCCAATGTTGATATAACTCTTTAAACAACCGCTTCTTTTAGTCCCTTTCCTGTGTTTGTCCCTCAGTAACACATGGCCCGATTCTTAATGAGCACATTTGATAAACTCATCTGTGTTAGTATGAGGATGACGGTCTTTTATCTTCTTTATACAATTTACATATAAACTTCTAGAGACAATACATTAACCTATCAATGTAGCTGGAATGGTATAATTTATGGAGATGTCATTGGAAGGGATTGTGAGAGGAAATATCTAAATAAGAAACAATCAGAGGCATTTGAAGATCTGAAAAAATAAACCATTTCACTTGAAAGTATGGCCTTACTTTTTGTATATGGAAAGAGAGAGCTCTATAGTTACTTTCAACAATGCTAAATATGTGGCAGGTCTAGTTTGCTTCCAGACCTATCTAGGTGAAATTCTAGGTAGAATTGAGATCACCTCACCGTCCAGCTATCAGGAGCTCTTTCTCTGATGCCTGCTTCCGCACCTTTGCATAGAGGTCTATAGTGAAGAGAGTGCTGGCACTGTTGAAGATGGAGGTCAGGGAGCTCATGAGAGAGGCCAACATGACTGACATCATCAGACCTCGAAGTCCTGGGGCCAGGAGAGGGTGCAAGCACTGGTTAGTGGCTAGATGTCATGATATATGAGAGTTGGGCTAAATCAGAAAGATGTTCACAGATAAAAGTATCATCTGGAACATTAGTTAACTGATATGCCTATCAGTATAGAATGCCATGGAACATTTCTTGGTGATCTGAGAATAGCATAGAATTTTAATCTCAAATATAAATTTAGAGGACATCTGATGGAACCCAGTTTTAGAAGATAGGAAACAGTGTTACATCTTTCCTTGCAGATGATCTCTTGCTTGTGGGTTGCATTGCCTTCATCTTGAAAATGTTCATATGTTCCAGGTAGGAGAAATGGGCACAGAAGTATTAGCTGATATTTCCTCCTGGTTAACTCCAAGATGTACCTGCTTAGCTCTTCACAGCATCTTGTTCTGTTTCAGTTTATGACAGCAATGATCACCTTTTGTCATTCTAATAATTCACTTATTTCATATGTGTGGTTTATTTTCTATCTCTTGAAACTGAAGTGTGAATTTCAAGGGGAAGGCTATTTTTTTTTATTTCATTAACTTTTATAGCTACCCAAGAAGTGCCTGGCACATCATACAAATAGGTGTAAATTAAATCAATTGAAATATATTATTGGAATAGACCTGGCCTATAGAAAATATGATAGTTAACCTCTAGTCTTCTGAGTGTAAAAGTTTGTAGCTATACAATAATTTTATTCACAAACAGGCCACTTGAGTGTTCTTGATTGGCTTAGGAAACAGTCCTGAACCTGAATGAGTAATAATACTTCTGACAGAAACAACACTTGTTTCACTCTGAAAACTCCAGGCCCATTATATCGCTGGTATCTTCTGGGAGGTGCTTGAGAAATATCTAAGAATAGAATTGAATTAATGAAAGTAAGAATTACTGATGATTATACCCTAATCTTCTTTAGAGCCCATCTACATAGACAAAGCATCTGAGCATTCACTTACCAGCAGGCATGAGTTCCAGCACCATTGTTGGGTAGGCATAGTTAGTGCAGCCAATATCAACACCACAGTGTTTTACACACTCAGAAGGTACAACACAGGCTACCATATCTGGGAGATATATGAAGTAGACTTCAGCAAAAAGGCTCAACTAGGTACAACCCGTAACCATTGGAAAAAGAGATAAGATGTAAGATCATGGGTAGGAGGGAAGATATTTGCTTGGAAGTTGGAGATTAAACTTTGAATTTGATATCACAGTCCTATTATATTTACCCAGAACATAACCTTCTAATTTCTCATTCCCATGGTTATCCATGCACTGAACCATGGAGCAGGGCTCTTCCTTGGCATACAACTCAGCTAGAGCTTTAAAACAAACAGAAAGCCAATTGTATCCTCCCAAAATATGGAAAAAGCATAAATTCTGAAGCATGTAGTTTCAGAGATAAAACACCAGTGGCATCATCATCATCATCACCACCACCACCACCAGCACCAAAAACAACAGCAACAACAGCAACAGAAGCAGCATGAGGTTAGGCCCTGTGTCCACTCACAGTCAACCTACTGTTTTTCACCTAAGTGTATAAAGAGGTGTCACTTGTGATAGTCAGTGGTGTGATTGTCCCATAAGGAATGATGCTTCACCTCTGGGGAAGTTGCAGTATATCTTATTAATTTTTCTTTTTTTCCCCTTAAGCTATATTATGACAAGAGACAATTAAAATTGAAAATCATCCAGAATAATAACATCTTAACACATTAGCTTTTTAAAAATAATTTTCTTCTAATTGTTTTCAACAGAGTAATATCTTTTTTTACACAACTATGGTAATCATTGAGATATTATTTTGTAGTCTCTCATGACAATTAGCATAATAATCTCAGCATTTCTTCAAGTTATGAGACAGTTTTTTGTTTCTTATGTACATTTCCCACTATAAAGGAAACACGATAATTTCTTTGGCTATTTCCTACTTTTGGATATTTATGCATTCTTCACTGTTATAAACAACACTGCAATGCTGCAATATGGGTTGATGACACTAACTTTGAAATTCATGTTAATATGATTTTACTGAAATAAGCTGACATCCAGTTAAGAAAACAGAGTGGATTCAGCATTACCTGATGGATTGCTGCAATACAAATAAATTTGATTAGCCAAGAAAGACATTTATAATTGCTTTACTATTCATAGCAAAGAAAGTTGATTATAAGGAAGATTTCAACACTAATAGTTATGCTCAAATGACTCAAAATTAATGTGCTCTCAAAAAATCTGATTCCCAAGCAGTGTAAAATGATTCAGTTCTCCAGCTGTCTTACAAAACCCTAGAAGTCAGTGTATCTCTTTTTTAAAATTTATTTTAAAAATAAAAGAAGGAAAACATATTAACAGACATCCATTTACAAAATAACATAAGAACAATGCAAACAATACAAGGTTACAGACAAAGTTGTAGGAAATTAAGAATGATTGTTGTATTACGTATTGGTATCTTCAAAGTGATTTCTCAGGAAAATAAATAAAGACATACAGCATTGATCAAACAAGTAATCATTAACTATTACTTTCAGTAATGCAATAGAAGACAGTAGTACAACTATGTTAGCTATCCTGTATATACATACTAACATAATTTCCCCTTCTTTCCCTTCATTTTTCCCACACCCCAGTTGCCCTTTACTTTTGAGCATTTTCCTTTCGTTTCACAATGTCTGTCATACCTCATAGTTTTTATTCACTCTTTCAGGTCTTTACACTAGTGAGACAATACGTTGCTTACACATGCAGGTCTGATTTATTTCACTTATGAGTATGGTCTCTAGTTGTTATCATTTACTTATAAAAGCCTCGAGTTTATCTTTCTTTGTAGCTGTGTAATATTCCATTATATAAAAGTATCACAATTTTTTTTGTCCAATCCTCAGTAAATAGACATTTGAGTTGCTTCCACAAGTTAGCAATTACAAATTGCACTGCTATGAACATCGGTGCACATATATCGCTGTGATATGATGTTTTCAGATCTGGGAAAATACCCAGAACGGGAATAGCTGGGTTGACCTCTAGACCTAGTTTGCTGAGGGACCTCTACAGCTAGTTTGCTGAAGCATCTCCAAACTGATTTCCACAGTGGTTTCACCAGTCTGCATTCCCACCAGCAGTGGAGAAGAGTTCCTATTTCTCCACAACCTCGCCAGCGTTTGTTATTGGTTGATTTCTTAATGCTAGCCATTCTTACTGGGGTGAAATGAAATCTCAATGTTGTTTTAATTGGCATTTCTTGAATGACTAATGATGT